AACGTAGCGTTTCGCGACTTTTCTACTTTTTGGCGCACCTGCATCTTCTTTCTTCTGATTCTTTCTTCTGATTCTTTCTCTTGTCTTATCTTCTTTCATCTTTCTCCTTTCTTCTTTCTTCTTTCTTCTTTCTCCTTTCTCCTTTCTTCTTTCTTCTTTCTTCTTTCTTCTTTCTCCTTTCTTCTTTCTTCTTTCTTCTTTCTTCTTTCTTCTTTCTTCTTTCTTCTTTCTTCTTTCTTCTTTCTTCTTTCTTCTTTCTTCTTTCTTCTTTCTTCTTTTCTCTTCCCTTCCCTTCCCTTCGCTTCGCTTCGCTTCTCTTCTCTTCTCTTATCTTCTCTTCTCTTCTCTTCTCTTCCCTTACTCTTCCCACCTCCGCTTTTTCATCTGTCCAAATTGTCGGAAGTTTGACTTCTAAACTTCCTTCGATGAGTCTCTGTGGCTATAGCCAGGGCTCTCTGACCTTTCTTGTGGGTATGGATGAAAATTATCAACCCGCCAGAAGGCACGATTTCATACTCCCACAGGGATGGTTCACAAATTGGCACCAGCAAAGATGGGGTTGATCTTATTGATCCAATTATGAATAGTTCTTGAAATAACCAAAAAAACACATACAAAGTCCCCATTACCCCTCCAAGATGGAATGCCCCATGCCATCCCATGTTTGGCCATCATTTTCATCATGTCTTCACGGCGATAGAACGGGAGTGCATCCTTATTTGTTGGAGATGTAAGATCAACCAAACAAAATCGACGAAAACTGGGAAAAATCAAACCAACACCTCCAGAGTTGTTTCCAGTAATTCTGGTGACACCCGGACATTGATGGTTGAAATGGTTTATGACATAGTTTCTCGACGATCCAGCTGCTTAGTTCAGATTTTTTTGAAGAATTGCTATCTAAGAACCAAACTCCTGGTTGAATGGAAATCATCCCATCAGTTTTTGGTTGGTAAAACCCACATCGTATACCTATTCTACCTCCTTCAATGAATTCTGATCATAACTGATCAAGTCCCGGTGTTTCTTGGTTAGATCCTCATTTTGTTAAAGGATTTAAATCAATCTCCATGATTTTCATTGATATTACCCCAGGTTCCTGGTTCTGTTCCTGGAACGACGGGCGGAAAGGTTGAAGTACCTTCTCATCCCGGAGCTACAGTACTTTGGCACGAGTGATGGGGAACCATGCACCCCCGGATGGAAAATTAACACGCCGCCCCCCCGAGGAAAACACAAAAAAGTAACATCTGACTACAAGAAAAAAACATCACTTCAAACGATTTTTTTTCGGGGTTCGAAAAAAAATGAGAACATCTTTGAAAAAAATACGAAATTTGAGTGAGACCCCAATTCATGAAGGATCCAACACGAAAGCAGGATGTTGTTTGGGGGAAAAGGATGAATAACTCCTTCACAAGGGCTTAATGGCTGTGTATTTTAATACTTTTAATCGTTGATATTCTTTGCTACAAATGGGAAATACATTTTTTTACCGCCCGAGATTGCACTCGCGCGGATATCAAGTTTAGCTCCCAGTAAAGGGAGAATCACCTATATCAATATTGGATTGTTTCAGAGAGATTTTTTTTAAAACAGGAACCACCTATATTTGATGGTCAAAACCATGTTGTTTTTTTCTTTTTCTGTTCATTTTTTCCTTAAGGATACAGTAACCATTGTTGCAGGTACCTGGCAGTTCCTGTAGCAAAAATCATGGAAGTTGAAGGGTGTCCCGCCTTTCTGGCCCCAAAGCCAAACGAAGCGTAGTAAGTTTCATAAGCCCATTCATCAGGGTTGATCGTGGTTGATATCCCGATCAAAATATGGAATGGAAAAAAGGGCTACTCATACATATATTATATATACATATACCAAATCCTTCTTGAGCATCTATCTATTTGGTTAATAACCCCTCAACAAACCCTCTCTGATCTTATCTCATCGCACTTGATCTTATCTTGTTTTCTCTCGTCTCCCCCTGTCTATCCTATCCTATCCTATCCTAGACATCCTATCTTTTCTTATCTTACCTCATCTGTTCTATACAAATACTGTATCCTTTCTTATTCTTATCCTTTCCTGTCCTACTCTATCCACCTAAACAAATATTATCTTATTGGACCTTATCTTGTCTTATCTTCTCTCACCCAGTCCTATCTTTCTTGTTATATCGGTCTTTTCTACCCTATCCTATGCTATCTTTTTCTTATCTTATCTAATCTTTTCTACATTGTCCATCTTATCCTGTCTTGTCTATGTTGTCTCATTTGATCATCTCTCACCCTATCTTATCCTGTCCTATCTTTGGCCACTGTATCCTTTCTTTGTCTATACACTCATTGAATCTATCTGATGTATCTAACTCATCCTGTCCTACCGATCTATCCACCAATCTATTCATCGATTTTAGCTATCCATCCATTCATATCAATTATATTTTTCAATATGTATATACATAGGGGCAAGGCCTGGGGTTCCCCAGAGCTTCAAGGAACCTTCAGTCTTGCCGTCTACTAAAGGTGGGGGGGGTGGGGGTGGTGTAGTAACATCCTGCGGACTGCGTAAGATGAAAGATGTTGTGGCGCTGATCTTCGTTGTGGTATACAGATGGGGGTGGGGGGGTGGAGGGGGTGGGGCAGGGTGTAATAACGTCGCGTGGAAGATGTTGAATGTGTTGCTACGTTGAGGATGTTGTTACATTGAAGTTGTTGAAGATGTTGCTACGTTGAAGATGTTGAATATGTTGCTACGTTGAAGATGTTGTTACGTTGAAGTTGTTGCATATGTTGCTATGTTGAAGATGTTGAAGATGTTGCTACGTTGAAGATGCTGAATATGTTGCTACGTCTAGGTTGAAGATGTTATTACGTTCAAGTTGTTGAAGATGTTGCTACGTCGGAGATGTTGAATATGTTGCGGAGTTGAAGATGTTGTCACGTTAAAGTTGCTGAACATATTGCTACGTCGAAGATGTTGCTACGTTGGAGATGTTGAATATGTCGCTACGTTGAAGATGTTGTTACGTTGAAATTGTTGAATATGTTGCTATGTTGCAGATGTTGAAGTTGTTGCTATGTTGAAGATGCTGAATATGTTGCTACTAGTACGTCTACGTTGAAGATGTTATTACGTTCAAGTTGTTGAAGATGTTGTGAAACTGAAGGTGGAAACGCAGTTGAAACAGCATGATGCCAGTTGGGATTCAAACACATGGAGGTTGCGTGTCACGACATACTGCCACGCCACTCTGACCGTGGCTCAAGCAATGCGCTGCAAAGCGGGCGCCTTGCACTGCACTCGTGCAACCCCCGAAATCTGGCTGGTTTCATACTGGCATCGGAGCATCGACTCCTGGCATCCTTTAAAGCTTGGGGACACACGTGGTTACCTAAGGGGATCTCAACCAACACCTGGCCATTGCGGCCACTGCCCAGTGCCATGTCTGCGCTGGAGTGCCTGACCTACTGGGCGTTCAAGAACCCCGCGAACGAAGCGACCTTCTCGACCGAGGGTGGCAAGCATGGAGTTCTTCGATCACCCCACCCCCACCACCCATGATGGTTGACCCACGGGAGTGCTGCCGAGTAAGATGGTAGAGTTAAGAATCTAATCTTTCATAAAGCACACTACTCACAGATCACACATGCACACACCATGGGCCTGGAGGCGAAGATGAGCACCCTGGACAAGACGGAGCAGGCCAAACAAGGACCGTTGGGACTGAGACTTGTGGAAGGGCTGTCTGGTGCAGCTTTGCAAGTGGCTAGGGAAATCAGCATGGAACAGCTGGCATCTGAAAAGGGCCCCAAAGAGTTGCTTGATTTGTTGTATCAAGCCTTCCAACCCAGGCGAACCCAAGAGGCCCGTGAACTGTATGCAGCAGGTGCTCAGGTTCATGGAATGATGTCTAGGCAGAACACAGAGCCTATGGTGTCATACCTGTTGCGCCGCAAAACGTGGTACAAGATGCTGCTGGGCTTGGATGCCGAGCTGAAGCTGCCGGAGCCGATCTTGGCGGAGCAGATCTTGGCTTCCTCAGGAATTTCCCGTGACCATCAACTCATGGTGAGGACTGCACTTCAAGGAAGACTGACAGTCGCGACCGTCTGCGACGAACTGATTCCCCAACATGCTCGAGTTCATCTGAACGAGTCCAAGGGCGGCTGGAACAAGAATCCCATCAAGTACAAGGGCAAAGGCATCGGGAAGGGCTACCACTCCTTCTTCGTGGAGACGCCCTATGGATACTATGAAGACGATGATGGGCATTCGCAGTCGCTCAGTGGCTTCGAGGTGGATGGATCTCCGAGCGCTTCAGCCTATGTCGCGGCCGAGCACTACGACACTGAGTATGCGGAGGAGCCGGAGGATGACCCCTTTGCGGACACCTTCATGGCGCTGATCTCCGAGGGCTTGGACGAGAACGATGCGGAGGCGATGGAGTATGCGGCCGAGGTCATGCAGATCGACGCCGAGGCCTTCTACGTTCACCAACGAGCTCTTCAAGCTGGACATACTGGTTTTGGCCGGGAGAAAGGCTATGGCGAGAACAAGGGCAAGATGAGTTCTGATGATCGCAAGGCAAGGATCGAGGCCATCAAGAGACAGACAACATGCAGAAAATGTGGACAGGTCGGACACTGGTCAACCGACTACTCCTGTCCCAAGAATCGTGGTGGGAAAGGAATGCAGAAAGGAGGTGGACCTACATCATCGACGGCATCTACGGCGACTTCACAAGGACGAGGACGAGGAGCTGGACCGAAGCAGAAGCCGAGAACGGTCTACTTCGCTATGAACGACTATGCCAATGTCGATGAGGCCATTCCGGACATCGAGAACCAGGTCCTCTGATGGACGCCCAATGTCTTTGGGACCTCCTGGACAAGCTCAAGTACCACCACCTCGAGCACTTCAAGATGGAGATGTGGTGAGAACCCCTACAGAAGGTGTGATCGTTGACAACTCTGGCACAAGTGGATCTGGTCAGACCGCTGATGAGATGCTGGATGCAGCGATCGCCGAAGCCCAAGCACGACGACGAGCCCAACAACATGGACATCGACCACTGCCGAGCTCTGCCCCTGTTGGTTCCTGTCCCTGAGGACGCAGAGTTCGACGACATGGACTTTGAGGACGCTCCACTGGCGATTCATGGACTTCATGGACAAGCTGGCTTTGTGGCTTACCCCACGCAACCTCCCGAGATGGAAAGGTTCAACGCCTTCCCTATGGTACCTGCTCTACCTGGAGGACATCCCAGTCCTGCTGAGACTGGAGTGGCATCTGAAGAAGGATGTCAACACCTACGCACTACGAAGAGAGGAAGCAATGGGCCAAAGGAGAAGGTGACCTGCTTGGACTGCAACAAGGTCCTACGTCATGAAACTCGAGCTGGAGCTGGTGCTGTTCCAATGGAAGTCAAAGATCGACAGAGCTGCAAGCATGAGAAGAAGCACTACAGAGGCACCACAGGCACGACTTGGAAATGGACGTGCACGGAATGCGGTCACTCTGAGACCGGCAAGAAGAACCCCGGCGAGACCGGAAGATATGGAGCTGAACAAGTATCTTCAAGATCGGAGATGGCGAGCTCTTTTGCACCTACAACATCTTCAGAGGATGAACGTGGACTTGAATTTCATCCTGGAGAAGTCGTGGCTTTGATGCAGAACAGCCTGGCCATTCAGACCGAAATGGGTGTTGAAGTGACACCACAACGGCTGGACATCATCTACAGCAAGTGCAAAGCTCTGGTCTATGGAGAAGGTTTTTCAGCTGCCACAAGACCATCACACAGGTCTTCGCCTATGCCAACTTCACCGGCATCGGCATCAGCTATGAGAACCTCGACATCCAATGGCAGCACCGAGAACCCCTATGACACAGAGATCTTCTGCACCGACAACACCTGCCAGATCAGAAGCATCCTTCCGATCAGCCGCTTCTGCTGCTCAAGGTGCACGTGATGTTTTGGATGAAGATCTGGATGCATGGGATCATGAGATCCTGAAAGGTGGCAAGTACAACGGCAAGCCCTTTCGATGGGTCTTCGACAACGACAACCAGTATTGCAAGTTCATCTTTGGCAAGTACAACGCTGGTGACCTACGTGACCCTTCTTTGATCGAGCTGGCGCGCTATGTGCACAAGAGGCCCCTCATCAGGACATTCTCATCACCTGAAGATCGACCTCCACAGGTCTACATGGTCAAGAATGACGACGCCAACATCACCGAGGACACCATGGTGGCTGTGATTGACACGGGCTGCAACAACACGTGTCATGGCTCAATCTGGATGGAAGCCTACTTGAAGGCGACTGGACTTCAAGTGCCACTGGAGCCCTGTCTGGGCAAGTTCAATGGAGTTGGCGGCAAGATCAAAGCGATTGGCATGAGGAGGATTCCTGTGACCTTCAGCTTGGAGGATGGCACTGAAGCTCAAGGCGTGATCGTGTCAACTGAGCTGGAGGGCAGCAACGTGCCACTGCTTTTGAGCACCAAGGCACAGAAGACCTTGGGACTCTTGCTGGACATGCATGATCGCACCGTCTTCAGCAAGTCTTTTGGGCAACATCTACAACTGGTGGATCGAGATGGACTTCCAGGAATTCGACTTCTACCTGGAGAACATGGAGAAGCATCTATGGCTTTGCACATCAACGACTCCACCATCAACGTTGATGACGATGACAACGACAATGAGGAGATCGAGGCTTTGGACAAGTCCGACAAGCACCTGATTGAAGAGGAGAACACTCTGGAGTATGTCAAGCTGGACGATGGATCGATCAAGCAGCTGACCAAAGGACAGAAGAAGATGCTGCATGAAGGCTTGGATGACTTGGAGAAGGAGGACACCGCTTTGTGGACCACACTACGTGAGAAGAACAAGCCCACAAAGACGCCCGGTCGACTACTTCTTCGAGGATGTGGCGTTGCACTCTTGGAGTTGTTCAGCGGTGCAGCGACCTTGACCATGATGGTGGCATCACTTGGATTGCCTGTTGCCGAACCGATCGACGTCCTGGACAATCCTGCTTTTGATCTACTTCGACCCGAAGGACGACGCCTTGTGGAGCAACGAATTGAACAAGAGGATCCAATGCTTTTGAGCATGGCACCCAAATGTGCTCCATGGTCCCCTCTTCAGAACATCAACGAGGCGAAGTCCGACATCACTGCTGAGAAGTTGGAGGAGGAAAGACGACAGTGGTATCCAGTCATCAAATGGCTGACAGAATTGGCCAAGAAACGTCTTCAACAAGGACGTGAAGTGAAGTGATGATCGAGAACCCATGGCCATCGAAGCTTTGGCAACTACGTTGCATGGAGGAGTTGCTGAAGGACAGCTTCAACGTCATGACTGGTGAACCTCTGGAACTATAACAACTTGATCAATGCCAATATGGATTGGTGGATGCATTGACTGGCATCCCACATCAGAAAGCAACTGGATTGGCTCTCTCGTCAGAGTTCATGAAGATCCGACTTCGACAACGATGCAATGGTGAGCATGCCCATGAGCCCATCATTGGTGGAACGAGATCAAAGAGATCTGAACGTTGGCCCAAAGAACTTTGCCAACAGATGGCTGCTGGACTCTACGATGAGATGGTCTATGGAACTTTGAAGCTGGCATTTCCAGCTGAGATGATCTACGAAGAGCATGAGGAAGCTGGCACTATGGACGGGATCTATGACGATGAAGATCTTGGACCTGCCATCAAGAAGAGGAGGCTTGATGACAACAAGGAGATTTTGAGATCAGAAGATCTTGAGGAGAGTCTCCCAGAACAAGTTCAAGACATGGTGATGGAACAAGAGCGAAAGAGACGAGGTGAATGGCTGAAGATTCCTCGCGCCAAACGTCTGGCAGTTCGCCGACTTCACACCATGTCTGGATCTGATGGAGATGTTGTACGAGCAGCTCAACACTTTCAACTCCAAACCTGCAAAGAGCTGGAGCCCGAAAAGCAACCAGCACCTGTGCGGGCTATGCGCCCATCCTTCCAACAGTGCTTCAACTTTGAGGTGAGCGCTGACGTGTTCGAACTACATGATTGCAAAGGAGGACGACACTCTTTCCTCAGCTTGGTGGACCTCGCCACCAAGTACCATGTTGCAATCAGAGTTGACTCTGGTGGAACCCCAAAGTCATCTACCTGTGCTGAAGCCATGAACAATTCATGGATTGCTTTTGCTGGACCACCTGCCTACTTGGTGGTGGATCAAGGAGTTCACAACAATGGGCGTTTCATGAGTCTTCTTGAGACTATGGGCACAATCATACGTCAAGTTGGAGTACAAACCCCTTGGCAACTTGGCACCGGTGAACGACATGGTGGTATCCTGAAGGAGATTGCCAAGCGAGCCATCTACGACAAGCAAGTTTCAGGTGAGCGTGATATGACTTCCCTGATCACAGAATGCGCTCGCATCAAGAACCACTTCATCAACCAGAATGGCTATGCCCCAGTTCAATGGGTCTTGGGCTATCTGCCCACTGACAAGACCAGCATGATCGACGACGACCCCGAGGAGATTCTTGGAGTTCACCAAGGTGTGGCCGACGCTGATGATGAACAAGGGCCACAAGATGTTTTCCAACGACAACTTCTGATGCGACAGTTTGCCAAAGAGGCCTACATGAAAGTTGATGCATCACAACGCATCAGAAAGGCCATGCTTCGCAAGAGCATGCCTATGAGAGGCCCGTACAATGTGGGCGACATGGTGAGCTTCTCTCGGAAGGGAAAATGGTTTGGACCAGCGAGAGTGCTGGGACATGAGGGCAAGTCATCGCTTTGGTTGATTCATTCTGCCCAGCAACCTCACAAGAGATTCTCAAGAAGCAGTTGCTGGAGTTACGACCGTCAAGGCAGAGGAGACGCACCATCTACCAGGATGAAGAGTCCGACGACAAACTGCCGTTCTCTGAAGACACCATGACAGCCGGTGCTCTACGAGAACAACGGCCAGTTCCCTATGTTGATGCACGACCTGCAGGAGATGATTCTCGTGAGATGGAGCAGGACTTGGCGGCCGACTTTGGTCCTACGTCACCCAGGACTCCTACGGCGACACCACTCCCTGGCGGAGATCTTCCTGCGGATCAACCACAACAGCGACCAACATACCCAAATCCAATTGGAATCTTTGATGATGCTCCTGACGAGCAGATGGTGGATCTTCCACGCACTCTTGGAGTACAACCACCACCAGGACTTACTCTACCTCAAGATGGCACATCAAGTGTGCAGAGCTTACCGCAACCAGAACCTGAGGTTGCACCACCTTTTACCCCACGACCTCCAGAGCAAGAAGCCACCTCAGCGGTTAACCCAGCGATGGAGAATTCAACGCTGACGCAATCACTGAGAAGGAGTGCGGACACTCTGGATGGAGTTTCTCTTTCAAGGAGGCAAACCTCCGACAGTTTTGTAGCTTCCAAGGCCGAGCGCAAGTATAAGAAGAAGACGCAGAAAGTGGGAGCAGGCATGGAGCTCCACTACCAAAAGGAGACGACAGAAATTCAGGCGCAATTGCAGGAGACTACGAAGAAGGAATGGAGCAACTGGGAACGTTACTCCGATGGCAAGTGGATCACTCAAGCTGATCTGGATCAACTACGACAGGAGAACCCCAACCTGAAGATCATCCCTACGAGATGGGTTCACACCAACAAGGCTGAGCCCAACCAACCTATGAAGCTCAAGTCACGACTTGTGGCGCGTGGCGATTTGGAAGATTCTTCGACTATGAGATGCGATTCGCCTACGGCATCACAGGCTGCGATGGGATTGGTTTTCACGTTGTCTGCCACGAGGGACACTGATCTCCACTGTGGAGATATCTCTGCTGCGTTCTTACAGGGCAGCACTTTGGACAGGATTTTGGTTCTGTCTGTCCCCAAGAATGAGGGCATTCCTGGTGTCGAGACCGAGGGCATGTACTACCTGGTCAGCAGCACAGCCTATGGCACCAAAGATGCTCCACGTGGCTGGTTCAAGAACCTGGATGGCACCGTGAAGAAGGAGACCTTCAAGCCATTAGCACATGAGCCTGCTGCCTATGTGCTTCATCATGAAGATGGAAGCCTTGCGGGCTGATGGTGGTCCATGTGGACGACTTACTTTGGACCGGTGGTTCCTACATCGAGGAGAAGATGAAGACTATCCAGGAGAAGTATAACTTCGGCAAGGTATCCGTCAACAAGTTCACCTACTGCGGCCGAGATGTGGTGAAAGACTCTGCAGGTGTTCACATTTCCTGCCCGAGTCTGATGGATAGAGTCAGGCCAATTGTCTTGACGCCGGAGCAAAGAAAAGATGGCAACAAGGATGTGGATGAGAAGCTTCGCGGACAGCTCAGGTCCGTGATTGGTTCACTGGCTTGGTATGCTCGAGTCTGCCGACCCGACCTTTCTTACGCCGTGTGCAAGCTGCAATCTTCGGTGCATGCTGCAACTATAAACGACGTGAAGTATGCCAACAAGGTCGTCGAGCTGGCCAAGCGGGACAAGAACAAGGGGATTTCGTATCCAAGTGGATCGCTGCGATTTGAAGATGCAATGGTGGTAGCACTGCGAGATGCATCTCATGCAGCTGACTTTGACGTGAGTTCGAGTGGCCAGAAGCTGGGTCATCGAAGTCAAAGTGGGCGACTCCTTTGTCTGGCCGCCCCTGATTTTCGTGAGAAGCAGCAAGGCCATTTGTTGCTGCTTGAATGGCACTCGACCATTCTCAAACGAGTGTGCCGTTCGACCTTGCAGGCCGAGACTCTCAGTCTTCTACTTGGAAGCGAAGAAGCAGAACATCTTCGCGTTGTCCTCTATGCCATCAAGGACCCTGCAATTCATCGACCTGGATGGATCGTGTCAGCCCAGGACAGCATCTGTGTGGATTGGTACACAGATTGCCGCTCTCTTCACCAACATGTCAACCAAGAAGGGCTGCACGTGGTGACCGACAAGCGACTGGCAATCGATCTGAGTGGAATCCGTCAGCAAGCTTGGCGCCGTGAAGGAGAAGAACATGGTGACCCGCTGATCACCGACCGTGTGCCGAGTGACGCGACCACGCGTCTGCTGTGGACATCCACAGATCGTATGCTGGCTGACCCCTTAACAAAAGGGATGCGCCACATTGGCCTAGAGAAGCTGATGACAGGCGCCGAAGTGTGTTTGATCCCAACAAAATTTAAGGTGTGTGAAACTGAAGGTGGAAACGCAGTTGAAACAGCATGATACCACTTGGGATTCAAGCACATGGAGGTTGCATGTCACGACATACTGCCACGCCACTCTGACCGTGGCTCAAGCAATGCGCTGCAAAACAAGCGCCTTGCACTGCACTCGTGCAACCCCCGAAATCTGGCTGGTTTCATAATGTTGCTACGTTGGAGATGTTGAAGATGTTGCTACGTTGAAGATGCTGAATATGTTGCTACGTCTACGTTGAAAATGTTATTGCGTTCAAGTTGTTGAAGATGTTGCTACGTCGAAGATGTTGTTGCGTTGAAGATTATGAAGATGTTGAAGATACCGAAGATGTTGCTACGCTGAAGATGTTGAATATGTTGCTGCGTTGAAGATGTTGTTACGTTGAAGATGTTGAAGATGTTGCCACGTTGAAGATGTTGTTAGTTAGGTTGAGGATGTTGTGGACTTGAGGTTGAAATCTCTGGAAGATTATGACATTTCCAGATGATCAAGAAAAATGCTGAAATTCTATCAAAAACCCAATTACACGGGTTTCTACAAACTTAACATTAGATAGCAAACATCCCAAAGATAAAAAATCGTTCTTTCCACGCCAACAAAGTCATACTATGTTGGCGCCGAAATGAATCCATTCAATGTATTACCATGGAACAGTGTACAACGCACTAAAAAATGACATTTCATGATCTCAGTCCAGCTCCACTTCAATTGCGTTCCCGGGAACCTCAAGCCTTTACCCTACGCACATATATATATATACATGCACACATAAACAAATCTGTGTGTATATACATATATACATATACCTACACGTATATCCGTATATCTCTATACATGCGCAAACACAGATGTACAAACACACACACACATGAACACATGTATTGTATGTATCTTTATTTTTCCACGCATGCATGCATGGATACATACTGACCTGCCTATGTGCATATGTGTCTATGTATATATACAAATACAATTCCTTCAAAAATATATATATATATACATATATATATATAATATATATATACATATATATATAATATATATATATACATATATATATACATATATACACATTAGATACCTTTGATACGTATATATATACACACACCTTATATTTGTCTCTTATGCATACTATGTATATATATATATATGTATACATCTTATACATATATATATATTTATAAATACACATACACACAAACACATACAAATACATGCGCACACACACAACTATATTATTGCACATGTATATTATCACACAGGCATATTTTGACCTAATGTATTGCATATGTTCCTGGTTCTCAGTTCCGTCGCTCCTCCTCCCTCCTCAATATGGTATGGTACCCTTGTGTATGTATGTATACATGATTATACATGTATATATGTATATATGTTTTAGATGTTTTATGTGTTATCATGTATAGTTTTTTTACTCGAACCTATCGAACTCAGTATCATGTGGATGCAACATATATCTTGACTTCTCCAGAATTGGGGGTCAGCTCAATTCTTGAAACCTAAGCCTTCTGTACCCCAATTTCCGCGCCAGAGCGCAGATCTCCTGGAACATCTGAGGCTATAGTCAAGACAATCTTTGAGTTGTGAAGGTGGCTACACCAAGTGGAGCTCGTGCTACTCACGAGAAAAGAAAATCTCCCTTAGAAAAAATGGCCCGAGGCGATTTGATGGAAATGATCTGAAAACGATCTAGTTCGAAAAAACCTGACACGAACATCCAAAAAAAGGATTCAAAAAAAGATGGTTTTGTGAAGCGAGTTCTCAGGGAGATCTCCATTCTTTCGGCCGCAAGCATCCGAAGGTGACGTCCGGTAGCCCGGTACTCTACTCACGTTTTGTTGTGAGACGAAAGCGTGAGGAGAGCTTGACCGGTAGCAGGCCGGCCAAATTTTATCAGTTCAAAAATGGGATGCATAGTTTTTTTATTATTCTTTAGATGGCATTTTATGTGGCCAAAAATGGATAGCATTGATAGCATGATGACATATCAAGGGTATGTGTTTTGATCGTTGTGTTTTTGGTGCCTTGAGTTTGGTGACTCTGGGACTCAGTCGGATCTCTGGAAAAACACGTCTCCATGTGGAGAGATCTTGCACTGGTCGCAAACTCTTCGAAGTTTGTCGGCTTCTGCACTTGATGCCAATGATCCACGATCATACCAATGGAGCAGCTGATGTTTCATGTTTGGTAGAAGCAACTATGAAAAAAACATCGCCGGGTTTAGGTGTCAGAGCGATTGAATTCCAGGCATCAGGTGCATCTATTCCCCCCAAGTTTGGCACGTCTTCTGGGCGGGTCATTGCGTAGACTTTACCAGGGCCTGAGAAACAACCATTGTGGATCTGAGGAAACGTGAGTAGGAACATGTGAGAAATCCTAGGCGAAGAATTATGGGAATACTCCAAGATTTGAATCTGCGAAATCTTTTAAGGTTGAATGTGGACTCAATTTTCTCACCTGTCTGCAAACTTTGAACATACAGTAAGAACCCAAACGTCAAACAGAATTCTGGATTTTGTCTGAAACTGGGCAGGCAGAACGGTTTCTACGACGTGAAATGCTTGAAACAGGACATTATTGGTTGGGTATCTTGTTTTTTTCTTCATAGCCAGCTATTTCTCGCACCCCCCAATTCATGAGAGAACAGTAAGATCCTATTCACTTTTTATTTTTCTACCGATAGCTAGGTGTTATTATGACAGATGGAGATAAAACAGCACAAGTTTTCATACAGTTCTTCCTGTGGCCCTGTTGGCTGCGGTCCTGGAAGCCTTTATTTTTTTGAAGCTCACCCATTTTGAGAATCAGCCAATCCCCAATAGCGTTCACATCTTCCAATTTTTTGGATCTCACTCGTTGAACGGTGAACTGTTTTCGCAGAAGCTCATGATGTCATGGTTTCCGCTTTCGATCTATCATTTTTAATTACGGGTTTTCTCGTCTGGAATCTTCTATTCAACTTTTTTTCGAGATTTTTGGGAGAAAACCAGGCCCTGGAGAACGCAACTGAACCCAGCTAACCTTAAGCGGTGCTCAAAACTCAAATCTTTCGCAAGTTGAAGCAGGGCGCCCTCCCAGTTCCTCAAATTTGGCACTTGAAAATCATTGGGTCTAGGGATTTGAGCTGTTGTTGAGTTGTTGAGATTTCAACGATGGTGCCAGAACTGTTGGAGCGGCTCAGTTGAAGTCCTAAGCCGGAGACTCTCTCAGAAATCTTTCAATACGGCAATACGGCTCCGCTTTCTCGAGCAGGGCTGGAAAATTCATTCCATTTTTCTCACAAGAAAAATATAAACAGTGCCAAAGAAACGGAGATGCAATTGTGATTTTCAATGGGGGATTTTCCAGCATGCCGGGTTGGATTACCGGAACGTCGGAAGGTATTCTTTTCCATGGAGTTCAAAGGGTATCCCTCCGGGCCACGAAAAACCAAATGACACTTGTCTTAGGTCCGTGAGCCACCATGTCGCCCGCGAAGCCGTGCAAATTTGTGGTACCCGTTGGAACGTGGGGATGCAGTTCCACTTCAGTAGGTCTATGATCACAATATGTTACAATTGCAGGGGAATCCCAACTTATGGGAGTGGATGTACCAGGGTTACATATGGTTACATCCTCTCAGAATTCCAAGTGTAGCCCCAAGTACGAGCCCATGATCTGTGGCTGTGTGATGAGTCAAGCTTCAAAATTTGCCATTGGAATCGACACTCCCACTGAGACACAGGGGGTCATGATTCCAGGTGTGGTTTGAACAAGATTAATCATTACATATCAGTAACCAGTATATTAAAGTAGCCATTGTATCAACCATTATTAAATTAGTAACATCTATTAATCATCATTTATCAACCATCATTAACCATCATTAACCATTGGATCCTTGTATTGGTTCCTTGTTCACTCATTAACCGTTCAATTTTGTATGTGCTTATTTGTTGGACTCAACGGAGGACGACCTGTCCATCCAGTCATCATCCACTGGAGGCATCTCCCGCTCCACGAAACACGTAAAAAGCAGCTGGAAAAAGGTGACACGCCTTCGGGCCTTGGGGAAACTCGGTAAGCTGCGAATGGAATGCTTGGCTTTTGACCAAGTTATGGGATGCATCTACTGGGCCGACGGAGCCCAAGAACCATGTGGGATCCAAAAAATGGGCTTGTCAAAACGGGAGTTCCACCTTGACCAAGCACGGGTGCTCCCCAACGGTCCTTCAATTTTGACTGAAAATGCAGGCTTCCAGCCAATGGATTGCTTCAATGATTCTAATGGTTGTGTAAATTGGATTTTCATCATGCCATATTTCATATGGATCGAAATACCTATTGGGATCCAGTTCAAGTACAGCTACAGTATCCGTAAATTTTGACCAGGCTGTCGGAAAATATTTGACCCTGGAGCTTCACTTTGCGTGGAAACGTTTTCGGCTCAGCGGGTGCGACGCGGAGTTGAAACGTTTTCGACACGGGGTGAGAATCCAAAGCCGAAGTGCTGAAACGAAGCCATGGGCCTGGCAACCCAGTAGGCTGGTATGGATTCATAGTTCGATAGGATGGACTAACCAGTTTTCCACGATGTTCAAAGGAACTTTTGCGTCGGGTATATATAATTATATATATATATATACATATTACATATTATATATATACATATACATATTGTGTACATTATATGTACATATATATATATAGTTAATACATATTCTATATCTAAGATGCTATGGGTTGTGTCAAATCTTTTCCAGCCCCATAGACGTAAAAAAATTGGTCATTTGGCAACCTTTCGGGGTACACCCCCTATGACTGGGATGATTTACGATAAGACTGCGGGTGTTTCATATTGGGACGTCGACCCGAAGGGCACCAATTCAGGAGCATTCTCCCCGAACCCAATCAAGCCGTCAGCATGTTCGGGGATGCGGATGACAGGAGATGAAAATGCTAAGAAACAATGAACAAGAGCAGTACCTAACAATTCTTTGGCGTGTCAAAAAGAGTAAGAAAACATTGGTTGTTTTCCCAAATCTGGGTGAATCTTTTGTTTGGCTTGATGGGTTCATCAATAATTACGCCGTAGTTACGGCGTAGTTCACAAGACATCCAGGGGGATTCGTGCAGATAAAACCTTTTCTATCCCAAAAATGTGTTGATATGATTTCGGACGGTCCTAAAGATAAAGATGATTTCAGATGAGCATATTTGGTACTCGTATTCTAAATTTGCAGGTGATTTCGAATGTTCCAATGGCCACAAACTTTGACCCATAGCCTACGTTCCCCAAATAAGTTGGGGCCCCTATGGTGAAACAAGAATTCAGTGGCCTCGTTTCCAACTAGTTCACTGGCCCGTACTGGCCCCTTGTCCCCCGGTCTCCAGAGTTCCCTGGGAGTGACTTGGACCATAAGGAGCCTACAAATACCTTGAAGAGATGTGGCGCAAGAAGCAGTCAGTAGCTTGGCAAGTTGGCAACTGACTCGGAGAATTATCCAGGCCTTCAGGGATTTTCAAGAAGGATTGATACATTTTTATTGAAGTGTTTTTTCAAATGTCTTGAATTCTCAATAGTAGAGCTTTGCTATGCTTTGCTGTTGGATATTTCTTTTGGTGACAGCTACATGGCAACGCCTCCAAAAAAACACAAGACCCTCACGATGGCAATGGATGGTCCATATCCCCCGCGATGCCTGGATTCTGAGATTTCTGATTCAACACGTGGTGACTGCTTCGATTCATCTGATTCTCTGAGATATGAATTTCCATCTTTCTTCTGATTCTACCGCAGTTGTTTTGGAGAGTCCAGTTGGGTGACTTACTTGCTGAGATAATGATGGTCCAAGACTGTCGAAGATGAACCATTTAATGGCTTCGTAATACGGGCTTCTCTGAACAAGGGCTAGACTTTATGGTCATGTTATGGGGAAATGGTGATAAACCCAGGTTAATCATGTATATATTATACACATACATACAGTTACATACACATGTACACACACACACCCATACTATATATATACATATAAATGGGTGCATATAGAAAAACTATTAAATATACGGTATATATATACACATAGGTATGTCTACATCTCTCTCTCTCTCTCTCTACACACACACATATATATATATATATATATACGTATACATTCAGTAAATGAATATCAGCAAGACATTCTCAGGACATGTCAGTTTGGCTCCCCAGTCGCAACGCAGGACGTGATGCGCTTTCTGGCGCGTTTGCGAAACTGGGAGTTTCGTCAGCCCCTTCGGCGAAACTGGACGTGATGGTTTGGACACAAAGTTGTGCCAAGTCCTGAAACCATGGAGATTATGATTTAATCCACTATGGGAATCCCTATCAACCAGTTGGCCATTGCTCCTTTAGAAGCCCAAAGTGGGGTACCTTGTTGAACTATTTCGAACTGGCCAAATTTAGCCCAGGAGTTGGAGACATGGAGAGTCCATAAAACATTCCCCAACCTGGCCTTATCAGAGATGATGGTCATGACGTGGGTTTTATCATGAGAACTGGAGTTGGATGTATGTATATATATATACGTATATATATATACACATGTATATATATACATATATATATATATATATATGTATACGTGTATATATATATATATACATATATATATGTATATGTGTATATATATACATGTATATATATATACGTACATATATACATGTATGTATGTATATATATATATATATATGTATGTATAGTATATATATGTATATATATATGTATATGTATATATATGTGGACTATTTATGTCTATTTCTGATTTGGAAGTTTGACGATGTTTTGCAATGTTCTTCCTAATTTGCAGATATTCATTTGACTGAGATTGGCTCGAAGTTGGGGGGTTTGCAATTTGGGACTGGAAAAACACGACCAATTCGAAGTATATGTTACGAAGACTCCAAAGGACCTCCATTTGTGTTGGTGAGATTCGTTCAGAATTCAATGTTCATTAAATCATTAAGCAAGATTAAGCAGCCATATTTCCTGAATTCACATGATTTCAGGCCCGTTTTGCAGTGAATCTCAGTTGCCTCCTACTTGGATGTACTGGACGTGGCCATGTTGTTGATGGGAATTTTTCAGGGCAAGCATCCCATTACCCAACTTCTTTCAGGTTACTGCATGAGAATTCAGCCAGAAACTTTTGGATTATCCCAAAATCCCCTGCAAATGGGCCTCACATAGGCTGAGCTACTGAGGCTGCCTGCAGTGCATCGTTGTAGCCGCCCCACGCGCCCAGACAAAGCGCGGAAGGTGGGATACAAGGCCGGGGCGGCCGGGGCTCTCCTGGCCCTTGACCTACCAAAACAAGACGGGGAATATTTGGAGGTGATTAACAACTGAATAAGCGGTTAATAACCATAGTTACAAGCCATTTGTAAATGGGATAAGCCATTTATAAATTGGGACTTACGATCATCAGGTTCACTATATAATCAGGTACTAAGTGGGATGATCCTCCAAGTAGTAACCCCGAAAAAGGATGCCGAGCATTTCCAGGATGGTAGTTCGATGATGTTTTACACGCATTCTCCAGCTTCCCAACTTTTTCTATCTGGGGTTGCTGTAATGCAACATGATGTATATGCAAGCCATAAGGAGCCATAAGGAGCCATAAGGATCCATATATGATGTTTTTCTTTAGAGTTAACGAGCTGACTGCTTTGATGTCGTGGATCCTGCGGTGGATGGTTCCAGAGATCATGGCGAATCTTTGGCGTCAATGTTTTGGAATCAAAGTGCTGAAACATGGATAAAACATGCAGTTAAGGCCATTTACCAGTTATAAATGGTGAAAAACAGTGAAAAACATGATTATAAATAGGGTTACAATTCCCTAAATGAGGTTATAACTGACTTATAACGGGTAAAGGGCCTAAACTGTGGGGATAAAGGAATTATGGAGTCATTTGCATCCAAGCAGTAGCTTTGGGGATGACGTAGGGTGGACTGGGCACTGAGCCAATCCTCCCAAAAACTAGGCAATTGGGAGTTTTACCGTTTCAAACATGGCTATAGAAGCGAGGATTTTTTGGTAAACCCTGTTGCTGAATGTGTGCTTTCCTTGTGTGCTTTCCTTGTGTCTTTTGTGACAGTCTTGGAGAAATCTGGGTTCTTTGAAGGGGCACTCTAGCATAGATTAGACATGTTGATCAGATGATGTGTCCTCTGCGAAAGCATTTGTCTTCCCGCCTTGCAGCGGTGTCAGGGCAAAGTTTGGGTGCATTGAATCCCTTTTTTCTTCGCGATTACCCCCAATGACATAGGTGCATAGCTCAATATGTTGATTCTATGGTAGGTGAAGTCTGCTTAATTTCGCATCCTTGATGGTCAAATCGGGTTTTTTGATGCTTTACCCCAGTTCCACCATGGCTAAAGCTAAGCTGAAGCATTGTCTTCTTTGGTTCACGCTGCAGTTTTTTTAGCATTCTCATCTTCAAAATGTTTCAACGCTAAGTTTCATAGGAGAAATTCTTCAAGATTTATATTAAAGACCTAAGTTACATTTCAAGCATTTACAGATATAATCTGTTATATATATATATATTAAATGTAATATAGATAATATACAATGTATATAATATACAACGTATATAATATAAAATATACAGTATAGAATATATAATATAATATGTAATATGTAATATAAAATTTAATATATAATATACTATAATATATATATACACAATATTTATATAACATTGATATAATAACAAGCAATATAATGATATACATATATTGAATATTGAATATTAATAATGATATATATAATATAACATATATAATATATAATAATATATATAATACAATATATATATATGTATATATTATAATATATATATAATACAAAAATATAATATATAATATAGAATATAGAATAAACTAATTTAGACATATATATATACATATTATAGTACAAATGTAAATCATATAATAATATACATAATATACGATAATATATATGTATATGATATTTATTTAATATAATGTACAATATATAATATCATATATATACATCATATAATATATTATATATCTAATAATATACTATAATATTTATACTATAATATGAATTATATAGTATATACTATATAATATGAAATATATGTAATATATTATAACATAATATATATATAATATAATATAATATATATTATAATATTTAAAATAATTTATATAATATATAAAATATAATATAATATATATTATAATATTTAAAATAATTTATATAATATAAAATATAATATAATATATATATAATATAATATATATATAATATAATATATAATATAATATATAATATGAAATATATGTAATATATTATAACATAATATATATAATATAATATAATATATATTATAATATTTAATATAATCTATATAATATATAAAATTTAATATAATATATATATATAATATAATATATAATATATAATATATAATATATAATATATTATATATAAAATATAATATATAATATACAATATTTAATATTATATATAATATTTAATATTTAATATATAATATTTAATATATAATATTTAATATTTAATACATAATATATAATATATAATATATTATATAATATTTAATATATAATATATAATATAGAATATATAATATATAATATATAATATATAATATATAATATATAATATATAATATATAATATATAATATATAATATAATATATAATATATAATATATAATATATTATATATCATATATTATAATATATATATAATATAATTATATATATAATATCATATAATATAATATAATATATTATATAATATAATATAATATATAATATAATATATAATATATAATATATAATATATAATATATAATATAATATAATATAACATAATATAATATAATATATAATTTGTAATTTATATTTGGGCGCTGCGCGGTTTCCGGGCCCCTTGGAAGGCAGCAGGACAGCAGACATTTTTTGAACTGACGTGGAAGAGTTATCAACACCAGGGCAGCCTTTACAAAGTTCCCTACAATGATGCAATTGCATCTTGGATGAGGCCATGACAGGTCTGCCAATCATCAATCTCTCCAAAAATCTCGGCCACCTGTTCCATCTTGGAGATGGCAGATTTGATCTTGCGGCGCTTGGACGAGACGAGCGCAGACGATGAGGAGCTGGAGGAAGAGGAGCCAGTGTCTTCGTTGTCACGCTGGTTCACACCTTCGGTCTCATGCTGGTTCTCATCATTGGACTCATGCTGGGTCACATCTTCTGTCTCATGCTGGCTTTCATCCTTAGGCTCACGCAGGGTCTCGTCCTTGGTCTTGACTGGATTGGAAGAAGCTGCGGCCCTAGCAGGATCTTCGGAGGAATGGGCCGGGACGTTTGGCAAGGCGAGCATGGAGCCATTGTCCTTGGCACCCTTGAGCTCCTGCAGCGGCCATTGGTGCAGGGCATGATCAGCCTCAAGGTTCCACTCACCTTCCAAGCCGGTCTTCAGGTGGTAGAACCTCTGTATGTAGCTGATCTGAGATTGGATCTGGCGTACACTGCGGCTCTTCTTCGAAGTGCAGGCGACCAACTCGCCAGACTTGACTTGCTGGTCATGGGCATTTGGGACCGGGGCAGCCAGGAGTCTTGAGAAGGGGGGGGAAGACAACACAACCACCATCCCAACACTTGCCAACCCCCCCTCCCCCCCCTCCCAAGCTAGACGTTGTGAAGTTCTTATTGTTTAACATACCAAGTTGATGAGCAAAGGCATTGTTTATAAACACAGCCCTTGTTTATAAACATGTTGTGCTATATCTTTGGCAAGCATAATGTTTATTTTGGGAAAATTAAGTTGGCAGTGCTTTTGTTTATACTATCTGATTAGGAATTAACCCACTTTATGAGGAACTACATGGGCTCGATGCGTTTTCCAACCAAGAGCAACATATCATAACAAACCCCAAACATACTTCCTAAGGGGCCCGGAAAACGCACCGAACCCTTACATTTTATAATATATGATAATATATGTATGTATCATATACAATATATATATATATATATAAAATGAGAAAATAATATATATAAAATATGAGAAAATAATATTTAAACTGTATATAATAATATATATATATTCCATGAAATCTCTCCCTTTCCCGTGTGTATCAGCTGCATTTTGCCCGTCGTTGAACGAGGCCAAGCAGGGCTACTGCATCTACCGTGTGCGGGTGAAACGTGGAGATCGCAAGAAGCGAGTGGCTAAGGCGGATCTCGTGTTTAGCCCACTTGAAGGTGGCGAGGGGTTTAGCAATGGGGTTTGTGATGGGTGAATGGCTTAGCAATGGGTGAAATAATGGGTTAAATTATGGTGAATCGATTTATTATGGGATTTCAGGGCCAGAAGTTGGGATATACCCCGCATAACTATGATTAAGTATGACCACTTACAACTGGAACTGCACTCCCAAGCAGTCATCATACCAGATTTGAGGTTTATGACATTGGGTAACCCCCATAGAAAACTGGGATGTTTTATTCTGCGAAATAGGTTGGCTGGCTTACAACATTGGTATACCCCCATCCGTTTGTGGGAATTATGATGGCAATAGGAACTAAGTCAAGAATGTAAGATGATCAGTTGGTTCATAACTAGATGTGCACTAGGCTAACTGTTTTTTTTTTTTAATGGAAATATCTACAGCTAGATGGATGAAACTGAACCAGCTTACAACTTGCAGACCCCTTCCTGCAGGCATGGTTGATTCACCGATGGATTTAAGCGGTACCCTCCCGTAAACTGGCATGGACATGAATATCCTCGGTTTCCCAGGGAAATGATATGTATATGTATATGTATATATATATATGTATGTATATATATATATAGAGGAACGGAAGGTTAAAACATACACACACACACAAACACCTGGCACCTGGGTAGCTTAGTTGCCACTAACCATCACTAAACGCTTATTTAGTTTGATAGGGTATCTAAGATTAGCAATGGTCGGATTTTACCAGTAAAATTCACGGGAAACATTGGACATTTAATCCGTTGGACATCAGACTCATCACGTGGTTCTAGGAATCATAAGTGGATAATAAACTGATTTCTGTCATATTTTCGGCCATATGCAGCTGTTATTCTCTGAATTTTTACGTCGACATATGCCTGGCATGTGATACATCCTGCAATTCTTTTGGGTATGTCGGAACGCCCCCCACTGCGACATCACTGCAAATGATGTTTGGTATAGGGAACCATCCAACAATAATTCAACATTCCGGGCTGGTGAATTATAGTTATTGTTGTCAGAAGCTATGCGCCTGAATTTTGGGGTTGTTGGAACGAGCATGGAATGCAAAGCTTGTCATTTTGAAGAGGAATCATCGAACCTTTTTTCATTGTAAAAAAGTTTCCGACCCTCATAAGAACTAACACGCAACCCCCAATGATTATCTTATCTGATTTTTTGAAAAACAGTAAGAGCCATTTTTTGTGTTCCATGTTATTTCTCAGGATCTAGTTGTGCTGGTTGTGCGTGCTGGGATGATTGACATCCCCAAAGAGGGTTTGTCTGAACATAGGGTACCCCTAAATCCACTGCTTAGTCATCATTTTCCTGATTAAATGGCTATTTGGGAGGTATAACTACCACATTTTCAGACACACCCAAATGGATGCAAAAAATGGCATCTTTTTTTCGACCGGAGAATTTGGGACTTCGCCGCCAGGGCATTGTCTATGGCAAGCCAGCACTTTGGCAGGGATGAGACGGCCAGAAACACACAGGATGATCCCTGTTTTGGCTTCCAGGTGTTCCGCGGGACCTAAAGCCACAAGACATTTGGGATGTGATTCCCCCAGCCCAACAAACTTCCACTTTTTGGGATGTGAACAGATCCCTTACATTCCAGGAATCATTAAAACCTAGGGTGTTTGTTCTGAGGATTTTTCAAACCCAGAACCCAATTCCAAAATGAATTTCGAGCCTGTTTCTGAGGTGAATCAGGGCATCAACAAGTGGAAGTCCGTGAGGAACCTTCGTTCCATCGCGGAAGAGCGTGTGGGGCGCAAGTGCGGCTCGCTACGTGTCCTGAACTCCTACTGGGTGGCTCAGGCAGTGGTTCCAGTTTTTCGAGTTTCACCAAGGTTTCATATGCGGGTTTCCTGAAATGGGGGACCCCAAAATCATCCAAAATGGGTTATTACCAATGGGAAAACCAAGGGTTTGGGGCACCCATATTTTTTGACCCTCCCGATATGTTGAAATTGAGGTAAAATTGACATAAGAAAAACATGGAGTCTCACCAAAGCGGTGATACAGAAAAGGACTACTAGTAAACGACGGGGTTTTGATGGGTTAGACCGGGTATAATATGAGGTAGAACTGACATAATGACAAACGCTGCGAACTTGACAGGTGAACGGTAATTTGGTAGATTATATGCTGTATAATCCTTTCTGCCTCAATGCAGGAACTAAGCAGGTGCTGTTTTTGAGCCACAAACAGTTTCAAAGACTGAGTTAGTTTATATGCCCATCCAACAGTAGATACATCAGTGAAATATCTTCCGGTCAATCTAGTTGGTTCAAGCAACTTATGGTATAGGGCTGTTGCCAAGGATCCAAGGAAGTTGATTTTTTACAAGGGGATTGGATGCTAAGAATCAACTAAAACAGCAATTCTCGTTGTGTCTTTTTTCATTGGGGGATGGATCATTGCTATTTCACGATAGGTCCGATAAATGGTCCAATGATCCAATGGTGATGATCTACCTGGTGGCTGATTTGAACAGCTATTTGTAGCTCCGTACCGATGTTTTTCCCAATTACCCTCTGGTAAACTAACATAGCAATGGAAAATCACCATTTGGAATAGGTAAATCAGCTATAAATGTCCCATTTTCAATGGCTATGGCAGTTTACCGGAGGGAAAACCACATTATCCTCTGGTAATCCAACTTGGCTCGTCGCAAAAGCCTCGATTTCGTTCCGGACATTTCCAGCTGACCATATTTGATGACCGGAGGGTATCGCATCTTACCCCGAGTATATCCTATTATATCCCCATCATACCGACCACCATTCGCCGTGGTAAAACCCCTATGTTTATGCCTCTTAAACAACCCAGTTTGGCCAAGAATAGACAGGATGCCGTGCACAAGTGGTACGAAGTGGTCATGGTGGATCCTTTTCACAGCGTGGTGCGCAACGACCCACGCATCAACTGGCCTCTCAGTTGTTTCAAATGGGCAAGCGGAGAAACCAACTGGGGAAAGGGTTAGAACCCACAAAAGAGAAGTTTTAACCTGCAAACACGTTGGGGCAGCAAAGGTGAGAAGTTTGCTTCGTTCTTGCTTGTAGCAAGCAAACAACGTGGAGCAACGGGATCTTTGCTTTTGCCAGCTGCACCCAGGGATTTAACCATCCGATGGCATATTTTTCCGTGGTGGACAGGGATGCCCCATGAAGTACAGCTTGGCCAGGAGTTCCACTTTCCTCAACTTTCAGAGTTGGGAAGCCTCCCGTATTAATCATTTTTAACCATTGTTAATTATTAACTAATATAACAACTATTAACCATTATTAACCAATATTAGCCACCCCAAATGGTTTCTTGATTAACCCCTGACTCCTGTGATGGCGACTCAACAACTGTGGTTTTACCAATTGGTTGTTCACAAGCTACTTTCCATACGTCCCTGGGTCAATCCATGTTCTTCTTCATTCATATCCCGATTTGTATTGGTTAACCTCTGGTCATTTTTGACGTATGGAACATGATGAAACATGGCCTACAATGTGGGTAAAACAATGTCATAAACCATCCCCCAGTCACCCAGTCATCACCATTTTTATAGGTGGTATGTTTACGATTCCCAAATTAGGGTGCTAAAAATGTGACATTGAGTTTTACCCACATTCATGTCATCAACCAACCTCATTATAGTTGATTTACCCATTAAAACATGGTGATTTTCCAGTTCGCGAAGTGTTGGTTTACTGGTCATCAAGGCTATTTTGGCTGCAATCCCGATCCACGGGATCCACATTTTCCATGAAATAAACCAATCATTTTGGGGATCCCCCATTTGTGGAAAGCCCCATATATCATTGCCAATATTAGATACTTTGCCAATCTTAGATATATGATATATATATATTTATGGAACTCACCCATATATCACACACATATATATATATATACACAGTATATATACCTATATAGATATATTATTGTAATTTGCCCAGATCACTATGCTTAGTAACTTAGTGCTTCGACCAAGTGTCCGAGCTGAGGATTTGCAAACCGGTGATGAAGCACCGTGAATTGCGAGGTGTCTTTGACAAAAAGCTGGAAGCACGCGTATCATGGGATACCGATTATATGCTATATAGTTTTATATATACACATATACATTTAATGTATGTATATATAATATAATGTATATATATATAATATACATGTACATTATATATATATATATGTACATATTTGCATATATATATATACATATATAATACATACATACATATATAAACATATATATATATATACATAGATCGCACATATATATATATATATAATGATATACCATGTATATGCATATGCCACATATATGTATGTCCTATGAATATATGTAGACGTGAAGAGCTTCAATACTAAACCATAATTTCTCAGCGGTTTTTGTTCTCAGGGGAAAGGGACTGTGATGGACTTTCCTGATTTTTCTTAGAGGATCATCACCCAGATTGTCACCTTGATGTGCTACGTAGAAATGGCTACACCCAGCATACTGAAAATTCCCAAGCTGCAGCACTCAAGGACTTGCTAACCATCGTTATGATCGAGTTATCATATCCATATTTCGGTCATGTTTTATTTGTGGCTTATGACCAACACATTTTATCCCACTATTGCTGGTGAAAGCCACACTCTGGTTGGCTACGCCCCAACTTTCTCCGCTCGTATGCCTATTGTTGTTACTTGCTTTTCCAACTTTAGTGGTTCGCCCCCCCCTTTTCGTGGTTCTTTTTCATTTTTCTGATTTTCCATGCCAATTATTCTTGTTTATTCTCCATTTGGAACTCCTTGTTTGTTTTTCAATCTCCAGTGTTTGTAGTTTATTTTCCTATATTTTTCTAATATCAAGTGCAAATCATTAGTTACATCTCAACTTTTTGTTGGCAATCGTTCCATTGTTCATGCTCAAATCACCACACATCACCACATCCCATAAATCACCATAAAATCGCATTAAAATCAACATCAATCACCATACATCACCACAAAATCACAGTGAATATCTTGCTTTCACCGTTCCAATCGTCTCTTTTTTTTGGGGCTTTTTGAACTTGCCAGGTCTCACCGCTGCTGGACGCAAGGCTCGTGGCTTGTTGAAGAAGGGCAAGCGCGTGTCTTGGCGACGAATGATGGGAAATTGTAAGGGGAATCATCCCCAGATTGGAGGCCTTATTTCAGGAGACGTGTTGATATTTGGCCTCGTGGTTTCGTGCATTTTTCTCATTTTTTCAGGTTTTTGTCGAATTTTTTAAAATTATCTTGCGCATATTTTTGATTTATGTGTGGATATGACCCTTTTATGTTGTGGTTTAGGGTGGGGTTGGGGTGGGGTGGGGTGGGATGTTAACGTTCAGTTGAAGTTGCTTCCAATTTTGATGCTACGGTGATGATAGGGTGAGAAAGTGCCAGCCCGTGCTCTTCAGTGATGGAGCCTTGTCGTGGCAGACTGAGTGCAAAAGATTGCGCCTGAAGTCTGTTTCAGTCACCCATGGACGCCAAGAATTTTGTCGCAAAATTCGAAAGGTCACACTGTTGATGGCAAGGACTTGACCGGTATGTGCCTGCTAGCCTCCACAACAAAGTGGCTAAGCAGGTCAATGCACGTATCACAACGTACGTGTATCCATACGTGTGGCGCTACCACTTGGGTAGCCACGCCAATTTGCTTGCGGAGCTTGCCAGTTTCGCATAAGACCATATATGATAAGGCGAAAAAACTGAGGCGTAGGCGCAGCTTGGCCGTTGGCCTGATTTTGAACCCCTTCCTATAACAACGAGAATATGACCGTTTTACACCAAGGCTAAATACCAGCGCGTGACCTTATTTCAGGTTGGTGACATTTTGCAGTTGAGCCGTTTAGCCAGATGATTGTAATGGATATGGTGATCATATGGAGTTTGTATGAGATTTTTTGATATTCGATGTTTCCATGGAATGACCATGTGGAGGTCATTCCGTCTGGATTCAGAAAGCGGTACAATCTAGCGAGTTGGTGAGTCGAAAGTTGATTAGCGAGGCAGCAAGGATGGGGATACGAAAAGCGATCAAAAAAGGGGAGATAGCATGGTAAGATCCATAATGCCATAATGGTTTGTTAATTCAGGGCACGCTAACATACACTAACGGCTGAACAAAGGTGATTGTAAGCTAGTCGACGAACCGGGAATCGCGGCGCGAGACTCTTTGGTGCCATGGGATCATCGGAGGGGATGTTGGATCCAGTATCGAAAAGCGAAGTGGTGAAACGAACGATGCCAGAAATTCCAGTATCAAAATTTTTGTTTGGTGTCATTTACGATTGATTCGTGATTTATGTTCGGGGCGAATGCTGGAACACACAGCTGCAAATTAAATCAGGACTGACCAGGCAAATCGGCAACAGAATTTGTCATTGAAACCAACTAGTTACACAATGTCGTGCTATGCCAGCAAAACATCGAACTCAACTTGATAGCCAATTCTAGAGGGAAAATTCTCTTCACCATTTGTGACGGGTTCATACCTAAGCATTGATGGTTGAATCCGCATTCTTTTCTTGTAAACTCAATTTGTTTGTTGGTTCACTCCTCATTTTCGCTGGTTGATTCTTAATTTTGAGTTGAATTGGCATTTTTGTGTTTTTCTTGGTTGAATGCGGTTTTTCTTAGTTGATTTCTCATTGGTCGCTGGTTGATTCATCATTTTTGGTTGAATCCCCTTTCTTCTCGATTGAATGATCATTGTTTGCTGTTAGTTTCCCATTTTTTTGGACTGAACCCACATTTTGGTTGGTTGAATCCTCATTTTGGTGTGCTCAAATCCCTGGTTGGATGGATTTTGATTGGTGGAATCCCCTTGTTTTCGGTCTCCGTTTGGGCATGAAAATTTCGTACCCCATTCCAATCCACAGGTTAATGATCATCATCCGTATTATTCGATGGTATTTTTCCTGGGTTTTACTGGGGGTTATTTTTATAATTTTCATGTCAAAAAAAATCAAGTTGACCTACCAAACCAGTACAAACCGTGCGTGCCATGGAAGTATACCCCTAATCAGGCCACCAAGTTGCGCCCATCCGCCCGTGCAGTGTACCGCAGGTGTGGATTGGATGGGGGTTTGATGTTTTCTTTTGAAGTACATGTCCAAATGGGGGTTTCTCAAACTGTGGGATCCCCACGTCACCATGGGTTTCAATACTGAAAATGGTCTAATGATTTGGATGATTTGGGGTATCCGCCATTTTAGGAAACTTCCAAATCAGAAGGTCTTTTAGGATATTTTTTGGAAAGGCCTGTTGTGAGCGGTGATTTTCAAGCTTTTGGGGTAGACATTCAATGAAGAAACTCACACTCTCAACGGATCCTTCTGAATGTAGGCTATCCATGCTCACAACAGTTCGTTCTGAAAGTAGGCTATCCTATAACACGTCTCTTCACAAAAGCATGTGTCTGGCACCTCAACGCTCTGGTCTGTCTCACTTTCACCAAGATTACACTGATTAATCATGAAAAAAAAATGTTTCCACAACTACTCTGACCTCTGGACTAGTTGCCTTTGTTTTTTTGGTTTCTCGAGGTTTTGGTGTGATCCTGATTAATCTGGATTAAACCTGATTAATCCGATTCATAAAGTCCTACATCATGACTCCGGCTAGTTCCGGCCTTTTTGTCCCCAAATTGGGAAAAACAGACTTGGGCATGGGTTGAGGGCAATTTCGTATCTCATCTCTTTTCATCTGGTCAACCATTTTTGTCCGCCACCACAGGAACAGCCTCATGCGCCTCCGCCGCTACCGATGAGGGCGATGAGAGCAACGAGGGCGTCCTGGTGTCCGGTAGGAAGCTGGCAGATGTGCTTATGGCGCCTGGGGAAAGCACACCTGATTATATGTATATATCATTACCTACATATACACACATATGTACATATGTGTATGTATATACATATATACATATATAAAGATATATGTGTATGTATATGTATATATATAAATACATGTACATGTACATGTACATGTACATAATATGTATACATATATATATAGATGTATGTATGTAATGTAATGTAATGTAATGTAATGTAATGCAATGCAATGCAATGCAATGCAATGCAATGCAATGCAATGCAATGCAATGCAATGCAATGCAATGCAATGCAATGCAATGCAATGCAATGCATGTATGTATGTATGTATGTATGTACACATACATATATATATATATATATATACGTATATAAATATACACACACATACATATATATATATATACATTTGGCATATCAATGTTTCAAAAGCTGTGGATACAGTAGGAAAACCTCGAATCCTTTTTTTACATATCTGAGACACCCAGTTTTGGACTTTCAAATTGCTGGGCAAAGAGGAAATCCATGCGTTAGGAGCCCTAAATTTCCCAATTGTGGGGGATCAACATTGCCTGAAAACTGAAGCAGGATGGTTAGTTCCAAAAAGCTGATGTTTGGAGGAAAAACACCTAACAAATCCCTTGCTTGTCAACCCCCAATACAGTATTGTGGGTCAATCACAATGACCTCACAACGACCTTGCCATAGATGATGGGTAGAGACTGTACAGGGATCACCCCCAACATCGCGAAAAAAATCAGTTTTGGAACTTCTTTTGTTGTCGACAGTTTTTTTCAAGTTTAATGGCACAAGCATGGAATCATGGTGCCATCAGCAGCGCTGCATGGGATCGTGGCTGGGCCCCGCACTGTGGGAATGGCCATCCAGGGCCCCCAGCTGTGCAATGCCCCCCTCCCTTCGCGCAGCGGCCCAGCGTCAGCTTTGAACTTTGGTGGGTGGGCAAAGTGGTGATATACCTAGGGCCATCGACATCCTTGGTCGGGAATTATCATCAATAATTTTTGTAGTATAATGTAGTCCTGTAATATGTACATTATTTATACACCCTGTTCATATGTAGACGCAATGACCAGCCTAAGGAGTCCCAGAATGGGACGACATCTGCACCCAGGGTGTTGAAAGTATGACTCCAAACCAAATGGAATAAGAGAAGCACACGGGGACCGCAGAAGCATCATGGTCACCATCTGCGTACAATTCCCTGGAACCGGAAAAAACATTGGGGTGCAGAACCTCAGCATCTCCAAGTTGGGTCTTGTCTCTTATCGCTCCAGCAGCATTTCGATGGATTTTCTATGTTGCTCAAATCCATAGTATACGAATAAAGACATGGCCATGTCATGCCCATGTCTTTTTTCGTTGACGTCCTCCTCAGGTTTCTTAGAAGACATAATTTTTGATGGCTAGATCATGCTAGACCATCGGGTTTTTCGGCTGACATTTTGGTCAACTCAAGGGGTGTTTGTTTGATCCTATCCCGATGGCCCCTCTGGAGACAAGTCATTCATTTATAGATGCTTCTTTCATATTTTCCAATAAAACTTCGGCTAGATTCCGTTGACATTTTCGAAATTATCCCATGGTAGAAATCATAAGTTTCCCAACCGTCATTTTCCCGATTTTTCGAATGACATTTCCTTTTCATGCATCCCTTGGTAGACAAACCCAGAATGAACCATCATCATCACCACCACCACCACCACCATCACCATCACCATCACCATCATCATCACCATCACCACCACCATCATCATCATCATCATCATCATCCTCATCATCATCCTCATCCTCCTCCTCCTCCCTATATGTTTTGGGCTTCCATGGCGGTTTTCAGCAGTTTCTCCACCGCTCTTCCCACCGAAGACACTCGACTGGTTCACCAGCCGCTCGGCAGCTCGCCAACTCCGCGAGAAAAGATGGCCAAGTCTGGGTGGGGTGGGGGTTTCTTCACAAAAATTGGTATATACTAAAAGGTATATGTCCTGGCTGGTGGTTTGGAACATTTTTTATTTTTCCATATATTGGGAATTGTCATCCCAACTGACTAATATTTTTCAGAGGGGTTGAAACCACCAACCAGTAGTATCCCATGTCATTAAAAAATGGTGTGTGTTTTTTTTGGGGGAAAGCTGAGTGGTGAAGGCTAGGGATACATATTAAACATAGATCGGCATAAGGCACCAGCAGTTCCGTCGAGGGATTTCATCGAGACCACGGGCCATTGGCGATTTTTTCATGCTCACTGATGGTTGGGGATATACTGTCGATCATTGATAAAAAACTGGTATCCTTCTGTTCACATCTACATTACTTGTAGTGGATATTCATCTCCCATGTTTTTTTGTCAGCTATGGACTGGAAGGTCTCAGGATGTCGTTTAGTCGTCAGGTGCACTGGTGCGAGGTGGCTGTGGCTGCCCAATTATACATCCACCACTTGTCACCATCATTGTGGTTGGTGGTAAAGCTCCAGTTACTGAACTCAGTTTAGTTAATGAAAATTGACACTCTTGTTGCTTGCTTCTGCCCTCAAGGGATGGTTTGCCTGGAATCCATTCCGGGTCATGACCCCATTTCACCCACCATTCTTGGAGCTCTGATGGCTTCTCATCTACCAAAGTCAAGAATTCGATAAAACTTCATATTTCATAGGCATCCAAGAATCACCCCAAACTGACCTCATTTCAGGTTGATGAATCTCTATAATTCTCGACCTCATAGAGCTTTCAGATTGAAAAACCCTCTCCGGATTTCACCAATGATAAACACCGTGGATTTTCTTCGGTCACCAGTCGAATCTGAGTTTTCACCTTTTCTCCATCTTGAACCTCGAACTCTTGCCTCAAGAGTTCGCCAAGATGTCACCTTTGTCCCGCTGGTTCAAGCTTGAGCTAGACCTATGGTTCCGCAGCGAATTTCTGCGACCAAAGATGAGGATTTGAAAACCATAAACAACCAGAAACCATGGAGATAGACCTCTTGAAGTGCTCTAAACTCTGGGTTTCAACAGGTTTAAACCACCAAATGACATGATTGGAAGTTGGATTTAAGCCTCACCATTTCGGAAAATCTCTTGCCGCAGACACTTTGCAAAATGGTCGATCTCCACGGCTAGGTGACCCATAAAAATGGGGTACCTGTTTGGACGAAATGGCTGATCATTTTTTTTGGATCTGAAACCCCAGACTTTCGGGGTGATAATTATGCCCCCTTCCGAAAAATGGCCAATATCATGTAATCGACCCAAAAGACGTCAGATCATCAGACACTGCTGTGGCATCCACAAAGATTGGGTGAGCATGTCAAACCAAACTGCCGATGTGCTGGTGATTGGCCAGAACGGAAAGGTGAGGAGTTGAAACACATCTGCCTGATGTGTCCTGATGTGAACTGCCAATCAAGTGCTGGGAAGTCCTTGATTCCGGTGATTCCCCTGATCTGAGATCCTGCAGGTGATTTGCAGTGGCTCTGAAGTGGTTTGTGCCTTCAGCAACTACCTCATCACCACATCCCTGGGCGGCCTTACGGGGGTGAAAGGCAGCATTCCCATCTTGATCGTGGCGGTGGGTTCGCGTATCAGTGATAGATGTCCACTACATCTGGAAGATACATGGTTAGATAGTGACTTGCCCTGGTTGGCCATCCTTGCTGGCGCCTGCTGGTTGGCATTGCTCATCAGGATTGGCTGAGCATGAAACCAAAAGAAAGCAGGGAATTTCAACCAAATGTTGGAGATGTTCCTGGATTTTTATCGATTTCTTTTCCCATTTGTGGCTTTTGCCGATCTTGTCATCCCATGAAAGTCATGAAATTCCAAACACATCTTCAAGGATTGGTTATATCCGTTTTTCCCCAAACAGTGTGTCTACACCGAGGGGTTCTTACGGTAGCTTGATCAGGGTGCTCACTCTGGGGCGCGGCATTTTTCCTGTAAATTTCCGCATAAAGTGGCTCTTATTGTGAAATCTTGCCATGCGTTTCGACTGCGCAGGCTCGCACAAAATGTGTGCCTGCGTTCTGGGCTCGAGCTGGGGCGCGGCATTTTTCCTGTAAATTTCTGTATAAAGTGGCTCTTCTGATGTCTCTTGTGAAATGTTGCTGAAGTGCATTTCGACTGCGCAGGCTCGCACAAAATGTGTGTCCGCGTGCTGGCTCAATCTGGGCCGTGGCATTTTTCCTATAAATTTCAGTTTTAAGTAGCTCTTTTGATGTCTCTTGTGTCATGTTGAAGGTGCATTTCGACTGCGCAGGCTCGCACAAAATGTGTGTCCGCGTTATAAAGTGACGGGTTCGGAGGACCTTTGGGAGTTGAGATGTTCAAAAAGTGCATGCCATTGTGGCGCAAGGCACATTTCGAAGTCAAAATGTATAAAATGCTACATATTGGTGCCAGTTTTGGACGTTGAAGCGTGGTTTTGCAAGGGATTCTGCACCTTGCCAAAAGTGAGCAAAACGTGAGCAGTTTCAAGAGCGTTTGCAGGCGTGAGACACTTCAAGAGGATCTGCAAGATGCATTTTCCGTGGCAGGCGCAGTACAAGAGACATGTTCTCATCAGAGATGTTAGGAGGTCAGAGCGCTGATTTACTGAGAGAGGTTGCATTTTGGAGCATCAGGTCGTCAGGTTTGCTAAGATGACTTTGCGTGACAGGTGCAACACTTCGCATGATTCGGTATCACTTTTTCGTGGCAGGCGCAGTAGTTTAGACAGGTGGAGTCGAAAAATCGCAAAACGCATTGGTACGAGGCCGTCAGCTCTGCACTCAACTTTCCATTTCTGAAGGAAGTCTCGCCGAATTGCTTCGTTTTTGATGTTGTCAACTTAAATTAAAAAATGAGGAAGTCTCGCAGAATAGCTTCGTTTTTGACGAGAACGTCTCGCCGAATAGCTTTGTTTTCAAGTTTGCAGACAGACAGACAGATAGATAGATGAAATAGATTAGATAGATTAGATAGATGAGATAGATTAGATAGATTAGATAGATTAGAAAGATTAGATAGATAGGTAGATAGATAGAAAGACAGATAGATAGACAGACAGATAAGATAAGATAATATAAGATAAGATAAGAAAAGATAGATAGATAGACAGATAGACAGACAGACAGACAGATAGATAGATAGATAGACAGACAGATAGATAAATAGATAGATAGATAGATGATAGATAGATAGATAGATAGATAGATAGATAGATAGATAGATAGATAGATAGATAGATAGATAGATAGATAGATGGGATAGATGGGATAGATGGGATAGATGGGATAGATGGGATAGATGAGATAGATGAGATAGATGAGCTAGATGAGATAGATGAGATAGACGAGATAGATGAGATAGATGAGCTAGATGAGCTAGATGTGACAACCTTTCAAGGAGATCTTGCCAACCATCTTCTACAGAGATCTCCCCAAAGGGACCTTGCATAGCCCTGGTACAGAGATCTTGGTATAGAGATCTTGCCAAGGCACCTGTGATGGAGATTTTGCATCGAGATCTGTTACGGAGATCTTGCCAGAGCCTTCTGAAAAGATGCAGAGATGCGGCCAAAAGGCTTCATATTGTAGATCATCCTTAGCAGGTGCTCTCCGAAACCTTTTTGCGATGGCTTGAAACGATCGTGGGAAGGCCTTGGAGCTTTTTGCGATGGAGATCTTGTACAGAGACACTGCATAGAGATCTTGTGCAGAGATCTTGCCAAGAGGTCTCTTACATAAATCTTGACAAGAGAACTCTTCCAGAGAGCTTGTACAAAGGTTTCATAAAGAGATCTTGTTCAGATACATTGCATAGATATCTGTTGAGATCTTGCCAGCAGGCCCCTTACAGAGATCTTCCAAAGAGACCTCTTTTAGAGATCTTGTGCAGAGATCTTGCCAGGACACTTCTTATGGAGACCTTGTACAGAGACATTGCATAGAGATCTGTTGCAGAGATCTTGCCAAGAGGTCTCTTGCAGAGATCTTGCCAAGAGACCTCTTACAGAGATCTTGCCAAAGATCTTGTACAGAGATCTTGCCAGGACACCTCTTATGGAGACCTTGTACAGAGACATTACATAGAGATCTGTTGCAGAGATCTTGCCAAGAGGTCTCTTACATAAATCTTGCCAAGAGAGCTTTTATAGAGAGCTTGTTCAGGAGATCCCATAAAGAGATCCTGCCAAGAGATCTCTTATAGAGATCTTGTCCAGGAAGTCTTGCCAAGACACCTCTTTTAAAGATCTGTGCAGAGATCTTGCCAAGAGGTCTCTTACATAAATTTTGCCAAGAGAGCCTTTATAGAGAGCTTGTACAGAGATCGCATAAAGAGATCTTGCCAACAGAGCTCTCATAGAGATCTTGTGCAGAGATCTTGCCAGGGGAACCCTTTTGGAGATCTTGTACAGAGACCTGGTGAAGAGAGCAGAGGTCTTGCTCGGAGATAATTTACAGATAACTTGAGCAGAGATCTTACTTTGAGGTCCCTTACGAAGATCTTCTGTGGACATCTCCTATAGACACCTTGTACAGATAGCCTTACACAGGGATCTTGCACAGCAGATTCTACAGAGAACCTGTCCAGGAGATCGTGCACACGATCTTCTACAGAGATCTTCACAAAGGGAACTTGCGGAATCTTACCTGGTATCGTTTCTTTTCGCTACTAGGGTTGCTCTTGTCCTGCTAGCTTGCAGCCACTGATGCTTTTAGGTCCTTTCCGCCTTTCGTTTTAGAATCCTAACTACACACTGTTTTGGGGTCTCTTGTCGAGATAATCAGTTTTTTATTCGCGAAGAATGGCCATTCCCGGATAAAGGAAGTTTGATCAACAACCAAGTGATGAAATATTCCTATGATATGACGCGAGCTGAGGTTGGCTGAGCATCGGCCTCCTCTCCTCACTTCTACTCTTCGAGGTCCTAGCAGATTGCCTCCCAGCTGTAGCGTCGATGCTGGATGTGGTGATGCTACTCGGGAAGCCCGCGCTGGGCGTGGCACTGGCCTTGTCACCCAGCGACTTCGAAAAAAACGTTGGAATGGTTGGAGATGGTTGGAGATGGTTGGAGATGGTTGGAGATGGTTGGAGATGGTTGGAGATGGTTGGAGATGGTTGGAGAAAAAATGAGGTGGACAATCTGGAAAAACCGACCAGTTTTTGGATTTTACTTGGGGGTTTCTAACATGTTTCAACGTTTTTTTTGTCCCATTTTGGACAATCGAACCACGACATTTTGGATCGAAGGTTATGGGCAGATCTATGGCGTGAGCTCTGCAGCAGGCGGGGCGCTAGGCCATGTTAGGGGTTTTCTTTAAAACGAGGGATCCCCAAATCACCATGGTTGTTTCAATACGAAATGGCCTAATGACTTGGATGATTTGGGGTAACCCCATTTTAGTAAACCTCCATATTGATAACATTTGATAAGCCGTTAAGCTTCATTCCAACTTGGTTCTGGTTACTATCGACTTACGTTTCCTGGGATGTCGACTCACCCCAAACTGTTGCTTGAAAAAACTGAAATGGCGATCCAACTAAGGCGGAAACTTGGGGAATGGGAGGTAAAAGGCTTGATCTCTTGACACAACTGCTTTTGATATCTTTTAATTCATGGATGAACTGGGGAAGGTGGTTCCAAGTAACAAAACACTGGAAAAAATGGAGATGTCTCCAAGAAACTGTTTTTGTTTTCGGCGAAACCAAAGTGGATGTATCCAACAGACCGTGTATTTCTTGACGGGCCCAAACTGGCAATTATTTCAATCCATCAGCATGGGGGTAGCTGCTAAGCAATTTTTGGTTGCAAGCCAATTGAAAGGTGGGCTATGGCTGGCGGGCCAACACCTGAACCAACAACTCAACAAACTTGCACCTGGCACGCGTCCCTAAAACTACAAAATTTTCCTATCGGCACATCATGATTCAAGGTTATCAGTTATCTCCAAAGTTTCCCATTTTTGTTCTAGGTAGACCTTCATTTAGGAGGTGAATGGTTTATATGATTTTAAGCTAAGGGCAGGGAAACAGATCATATCTTCTATGCACAGAGTGTCAAAAGCTTGGCCATGCCATGTGTTGGCAATATCCATTCTGCCACAAAAAAACAACTGGCAAAACTGCTGGTGACTATTCACCAATTCTTTTTGGTTGTTTCTCTTCTCGTTGGTGATTTGCATGATTTAGCTTCATCCCCTCCTCCCAGAAACCCTGGTTGATATGAGGGGTGTTTAATCTGGATCAGATTTCAATGCGCTCCATCCATGGCCATGTGCTTCACCCATAGATCTTGGGGGAACAACAATCTACAAGAACTCGAAGCCACTAGAAATGGAATCTTTCCCAAATCCCAAAATAATCCTGTCACACGAGTGATCGTTTAGATTTTTCATTTTCTTCAACAAAAACCGTCATATAATTTTGAAAAAACAAAACCCGGAGTTTTCTCATCATTTTCCCTCTTACCACAAAATCTTAGGCCTCCAAGATTTTTTGCAGTAGTTGTTTCTTGTCTCTTTAATCCTCGTTTTCTTTGCTTCACACAAAGCTTTTCGACCTTTTCATCGCCCCACTTGGAAGCGCATTTCCAGTTGTAAGTGTATACCCATGGTTCTACGGCTTATATCAACTCTTACGCAACTTTATATCAGCCCAACTTTCTGAGTTCACACCATGGTTCCATCCATAAAAACAAATTAGCCTCAACTGCAATGGGCCCACAGGGTGGCTGGCCGCGGCCTCCGCCGCCCTGTTGGCCATCCTGGTAGCGCTGATGAAGGCCGCGTGGACGCTCGCCTGCGACGGCAGCGCGGCGGGACTCTGCAGCGTGCTACGCAGTGGGCTGGAGAGCTGCGTGACCAGTCTGCGGCTGGGCGATACGGAGATGACTGGGATATCGTGGGATATATCATGATTCTCTGTATATATATATTTATGTATGTTTGTATGTATGTATGCATGTTATGTATGTTATGTATGTTATGTATGTTATGTATGTTATGTATGTTATGTATGTATGTTATGTATGTATGTATGTATGTAATGTAATGTAATGTAATGTAATGTAATGTAATGTAATGTAATGTAATGTAATGTAATGTATGTATGTATGTAATGTATGTATGTAATGTAATGTAATGTAATGTAATGTAATGTTATGTAATGTAATGTAATGTAATGTAATGTAATGTATGTATGTATGTATGTAATGTATGTATGTAATGTATGTATGTAATGTATGTATGTAATGTAATGCATGTATGTATTGTATTGTATTGTAATGTAATGTAATGTTATGTATGTATGTATGTATGTAATTAATGTATGTATGTAATGTATGTATGTAATGTAATGTAATGTAATGTAATGTAATGTAATGTAATGTAATGTAATGTAATGTTATGTAATGTTATGTAATGTTATGTATGTATGTATGTATGTATGTATGTATGTATGTATGTATGTATGTATGTATGTATGTATGTATGTATGTAATGTATGTAATGTATGTAATGTAATGTTATGTAATGTAATGTTATGTAATGTTATGTAATGTTATGTAATGTAATGTAATGTAATGTATGTATGTATGTTATGTATGTATGTTATGTATGTTATGTATGTATGTTATGTATGTATGTATGTATGTATGTATGTATGTATGTATCACAGAACCATAAACCCCCCCCCTAACCCCCCCCCCAAAAGTGCTAAGCCTCAGTAACAATCAGCAAAACTCATTGAGTGCTAGTGAGCGCTAGTGAGTGGTAAAAACCCTATCGAGTGTTACTGAGTACTCCCCAAAACAAAACCCTGAAAATCTATCCCAAAACACAATTGAGGGCTACTGAGTGCTACTGAGTGCTACTGAGTGCTACTGAGTGCCCTGAATGCAAAACGATGACATTCCCAGAAAAAAAGTCATGGAGTGGTCCTTGCAGAGAAAATTCCAAAAGAAATTTCAACATATTTTGGGTTTTGAAGCTTTGTTTTCTCAAAACCCTATCGAGTGTTCCTGGGTGCAACCCAAAACAAAACCCTGAAAATCTATGCCAAACAATTGAGGGCTACTGAGTACTCTGAATGCAAAACAATGACATTCCCAGAAAATAAGTCATGGAGTGGTCTTTGCAGAGAAAACTCCAAAAGAAATTTCAACATATATTGGGTTTTGGGGCTTTGTTTTCTTCAACCAACCCGAATTTAACTCAGGTTTTTTTAACGCTTTGCTAGTCTTCTTCTGCATTCATCACATCCTTGATTTCCAGGATGCTGGCAGCCGTCCATTCCGACTCATACTCCGGCCAATCTTTGCAGTGCCGGTGGAAAGTGTGCTGAACAAAATTCAACACTTCCAGCACTTTCTCTGCCTTCTCATCTAGAGATGCATCTGCCCTCCAAGTTTGCGACTTGTTGCGCTGCACACCGAGATCGGCTTTCAATCCTTGGGGCCCAAAAACGAGTGATGAAAAAAAATACGAAAAAAACATGTTTGGCCAAAAATGTTCAAAACTTGAGGACTAGAAAAAAATGCAGCCCTGATAACATGCAAATAATAGATCACGATGAAAAGTTTTGGATCCAATTCAGCAATAATAATAATAGCAAAAAAACAGGAAAACTGATAATGAGAGAATTTAAAAAGGCGAGGCTCCCCGAAACTCAACACCAATGTTTCTCTTATCAGGTCTGTATCGAATCTGAATTCTTGAGGTGCTTGGGAAAAGGTCTCTGATTGATCTTGGGACAGCACGCCTAGCCCCTGGTGCAGCTGGTGCAGCTGGTGCAGCTGGTGCAGCTGGTGCTTCTGCCCTGGGACCAGGATTATGGCGAGCCCGAGCTGGCAAATCAGCATCAGCAGGATAAGCAGGTCGAGCAGGTTCTGGGCGTTCTTCCGGAAAATTTTCGGGGCTTGGAGGATTCTCGGGAGGTGGCATTGGCGGCGGAGCTTCTGATGGGGGAGGCTCTGCATTCTCGGGAGGTGGCATTGGCGGCGGAGCTTCTGATGGGGGAGGCTCTGCATTCTCGGGAGGTGGCATTGGCGGCGGAGCTTCTGATGGGGGAGGCTCTGCAACTTCCTCGTCTTCCCAATCATCCGGTTCCTTTTCCTTCGGACGTTTTTTCAACTCCTTTTCAAGGGCTTTCTGCTCCATTTTGTCACAGCAATGCTCAACCAATGGTTTGAAATGCTCCCGCTCCGAATGATCAAGCTGACTGACGGCTTGCATCAGTTTCCAGTCAATAACACTCTCACTAGATTTTGCCGACCCGAGCATGGCTTTGTACATTCGCTGCTTTTCAGAAGCTGATTGATCTGCAAAGAACAGCTCTATCAAAGCTTTGATGACATCCATTCTCCGAATTCCACCCTTCGAACCACTTCCCACAGCGGGAAGTTTCCCACCGTGGGCTCGTAAAATGCATCGAAGCTGCCTGTCATAGAGATTTACACCTGCTCTCACAGCTGCCTTCCCAAGTGGCTCCACATCACCAGTCTGCTGAAAAACCATGGCCAACCCCATGTCCCGAAAGTGCAAGGGGACACAAGAAGGTGGCAGCAAGCGCGAGGGTACATGTTTCCATGGACCTTCTGGTCCCGGGTCCACCACAAAATGCCAAATTGGTGAAAGGCTCTTTGCAGGGGCAGGTACGAGGAAAACCTGATGGGCTGATGGGAAGGAACACCATGGTGGAGGCTCTGACTCCCAGGGGAAATTTGCTGGTACTCTCAGGGGAAAAAGAAAAGTAATTGTTTCCAACAAAAAATATGGCTAGGCCTCGTCACTGATGGTCACTTTCTCCACATAGATCCCTTGAACTCCCCAGAACTTGAACCCAAAGGACATGAAGAATCTGTCCCGGTATTCATAGATCTCTCCGACTTGAAGCAAGCATCCTCTGAAAAATGTCACCCGCATGGAAAACATGAACCACCCACATGATTAAAATAAAGATTGTAACACCCTACCCGTTTTACCTGTGGGGCCCCCAAAAAATGAGCTTAATTTCTGGTATATTTCTTTTCCCCCCATGGAACCTAGTAAAATCACCCAGCATAGATAAATTTCTTGGGCGGAAAAAATATTTGATGTTCCTTGGGCCTTTTTTTTTGGGGGGGTGCCATTAATATAACCCAAAATTGAAACATTTTGGACACCAAACATTTTTGGGCGCCTTAAATATCTGGAAAAAAGTGAAATTCTGGGTGATTTTCATCCAACAATAACTGTGCCCTGTAACCCTGTCCTGCCCATGCATCATCCACCCCCTGAAAGTTTCTGTCTGCTGAGCTGAAAATGAAAGCGCAAGCTGCGGCACTCTCCCGATTTGTGTATCCAGCCTTGCGGATGTAGGCAAGGGCTTGTCCAGGCTCAACAAGATTCTTGATGGAATGCGTCTGGAGGTTGTAAGGTCGGGTCCGTAGAAAAGCTTGGTCTGTGAAGCCACTCTGATTGTATTCCGAAAAATCTGCTTCCCCCAGTCGAACCTGAGGGATCCCTTGTTCCTGCGGGTATGCAGTGGTGTGACAATAGGTCCACTTTGCAGGAGTGCTCATGTTTCTATTGTTGCGAGAAAACCGTTCGGAAGCATCCTTCACTGAATTGATCGTGTTCTCCAAGAACTTTGTGGAGTGAGGTCCAGCGAAAAATGAAAATGCCATATCCAACAATTCAGGGTTTGAGGATGGGTTCCATCCCTTTTGCACCCCTGAAGCCAAGATTTCCCGGGTCACGACCCACTCATGCGTGCCCACTGATGCGAGAAGCTTTCTAAACGATGATTTCCCAGGTGAATTATTGGCCATGCCCTCCAGCTTCAAAATTGCCTCTGACAGTTTAGTCAGCATGTGCACACCCCGCTGGACAACTGTGGGGTCCTGAGAAAGCAGCCTTCCAATTGCCCAGGGGAAGCACCAACCATAGAATGGCTGTGACCAAGCCCTGTTGCTAGCCAATGAAAACACCAACCTCTTGTACATATCCAACAAGCGAGCTTCCTCGCTCATGACTGGGTTTTCCCCATCGAAAGTATGCACAACACCGAAAATCGGCGGCGTCAGACACAGACGGTCGGCTGTGTGTTGATCACAGAGTCTCTCGATCATCAAGGTGATGGTCTGGTACCAGGAGGATCCATTGGCACGGTCGGCTGCCCAAGCCAGCATTCCCAGGTATCCCTTTGATTCTGCTTCCAGGTTTGCAGAATATTCGGCATGTAGTTCCCTAGAGGCATCAACAAGCATGCGAACTTTAACCTGCAAATTCTTTTCCCCATAAAGGGTGTGGACAAAGGCCTGGGTAGACTTGAACTGGCTGCGCAATGCATTGAAGGCAGCCCTGGTTTCTGGAGCTGTGCCCTCTCCCTCTGCATCATTTTCACCAGCTTTGTCCTCACGTTCTTCCTCCGCATTTTCATCATCGGCAGAACCCCCCCCCTGGTCGCCCTCATCATCATCCGCATCATCTCCCCAATCCTCATCACCTTCCTCATCCTCCCAGGGGTCATCCTCCTCCTTATCCTCCTCTTCCTCACCCTCGTTGTTCACGTCGTTCATTGAATCTTCATACGCGGACATGTTGAAATCATTGCCATAGAAGAATTTGAAATCACCCATAGGGTCATCTTCATCAACGGATTCAAGGTTGTCAGGTTCCTGGGTTTCCCAAAGAATGTGAATAAATAAACAAGGGGCTCCCCGAGAATGAAGATCTAGCTGGTCCCTAAAATTGAAAACCAATGAAATAATCCCATGAAGTCTTGAACCATTCTGGGATTCAAATGGATTCTATTATTCTGAATATTTTTAGAAAATGGATATCAAAATGGGCAAGGCTCCGCTTTGTTCAGTTTTATCATGTGCTCTG